TTCACATCCGGAACTCTGCCGAGGTGCCATTGAGTAACCCACCGAACCCCCCACCAGCTCAGGAGCGCTCAGTGTGGGCAGCCCCCTCTCTCTGACATCCCTCCATTAGTGCATGTCCAGAGGATCCTGTTTTTGCTTGTGTGTGTATTTCTGCCTATGTGTTTGTGTAGCATGTTCAACGACAAAGTGTAAAATTGACTTTCCCCTCGTGGGAGTAATAAAGTATATCTTCTTCTTCTTCATCTCTCAGAGAAGGCACTGAAAGATTTAAATAGTAACTGGGGCGCTGTTTAGTCTAGTGGTTGGGTCAAGCACACCATGTATAGAAAACTGTAGTCCTCAAAGCAGGCTGTCCCGATTTGAATTCTACCCTACATGTCATCACCCATTCTCTCCTCCACATTTTCTACTCTATCCACTGTACTGTCCACTGAATAAAGGCATAACAAGTCTAAGGTAAGAAGGTTGCTGCTGTTATTATATTGTAATCCTGAAAATATATTCATTTAATTTCGGAAAAAAGTGTTGGCAATTCCAAACATCTTAATCAATCAAAAATAATTGTTAATGCATATTTTTCTTTAATGATCGAGTTAGAATATAATTGATCTCAGAGAGATGAAACACAAGCAAGGTTACCATATGAAGCATTGCAAAACACTGATTTGAAACAAAAACGGGGAATTGTATTTTTTTTTTTTCTTTTTTTTACAAATAACAACTAATTACTCAATTCCTGCACTAACAGAGTCTCTGCATTGTTCCAATTGCAAAGAAGAAAATGTCATTTTATTTGAATCCTTGTTGTAAGATGACTTTCGCAAGGTTTTGTTGAGTGTTTTCTGATGTTTGGTTGTTCGTCTCTCACATGAAGCATCCAATCTCCTTTGTTTCCTTTCTTCCTGTCTATCAAGTTCTGCTTTGTTATTCGATTCAAAAAATAAAAAAATAAATGGAAAACAGCAGATGAGTGCTTGAAATATCCTACTGAGACTAAAGCCTCATTTCCGATGGTGTCCTAGAAACATAAATCTCATTATAATTTCCAACATCAAGACAATCTACTTTGGAATAACACAAAATTATGAGTAAAGCTAAAAAAAGATTTTAAAATAAACATGATAAAGCCAAACAACTTCAAACCATACATATGCATGGGGCGCCTTCAACGAGATGAAGCGAAAAACTCGGGGATATCAGGGGAAGAAACAAATAAATACATGTTGAAATCCTTTGAAAGTTTGAAACAATAATTAAGAGTGTTGTTTTTCTGTCACAAGTTGGACCTGAAGAGGAGGACAATGTTTTTGAACAAATGCTGTAAAAAAGATAATAGACAGCCTCATCCAGACCGTGCTTTAACATTTATTCAAACTAATACTGTACAAATAAGTCATTTTAGATGAGTGTCTTGCTTTTAAATTGGTTCCTTACGGGAGTTAAATTGACAACAATAGACATTTTAAACCAAAATCTATTTGTTTAACTATCACTATCAAGGGGATATTATGCTTTTATTTTCTCTACACATTTTATTTTAATACTGTGCTTTTCAAATAATGGCAAGACAGAAAAAATAAAAATGGTTCTCTATCCTCCGACCAAATCCTTATTATCAAGTTGTCTGGGCTTTAATTTAATTTCCTCCATTGATGAATGTGAAGTCATTGGGGGAGGGAGGAACGGAAACTATTTGGATTCCTCATCCAATGATAATTCCTTTGGGAACCTAAGATTACAAAGTGGTAATGCTGATAACAGTCTTTTCGGCTGTTGACACAAACAGAAAAAGGGAGCATTTGTATGTATTATAATGTAGCTATTTGCTGCTGTTTGTTGTTTTTAAGGACACTTTGGGGACTCCATTTTGGGGTGCTTACAGTACATTCAATACTTTGTGAGGTTTTGAATTCTTCTGAATGAAATTTAAATAAATGCACTTGTGTATTAAGTATAATGTGACACCCACTACATACATATCAGTGTGGGCAAGATTTAATGTTGGTCCAACAATGCTGCTTTGATGTGAAGCACACTTCCTGTTAAGTTGCATTATTTCATACAGCTCCCCATTTATCATTCATTATACTGCATGAACATTGCAATGTAGTACTTATTTCTCTTTTGATATACAAATGAACAGCTGTGTTCTCTGGATGTGTTCGCAAAAATAACAACCTTTTCAAATGAAAACCAAAGTCATATTTGACCTAACCATTTCAATACAGACACTGATAGAGCTTAGTATAATAAATTAATTTATTAAATAAATCAATTATTTTAAGTCAAATGATTTCCCCTTATAGTCTGCAATATAAAGATACAATTATCCTATTAAGACTGATTATGGAGTAATGGGGATGTTAGACTATTGAGTCTTAATATAGAAAAATGTTTGACATGAGGTTAATGGTATTTTAGGAAGAGTAAACTTGTAGGACTGTACACATTATACTCAGTAAAAGGCAAAGTAAACTCACTTGTGAGACAGAGCTGCCCATCATCGCATGTAAAAGCAGAGTTGTGTATCACAGTAGGATGATCATTAGTGGGCCTCAAACTTTATAATGCAATTTCTGATCAAATGAGATAGAAACGTAAACTACATCAGTCTGATCTGAAACCAAAAAGAAATCAAAATATTCCTCCTAAAATGTAATATTTTACATTATTCTTATTTTCTAATAAATGTGTGTGTGTGTGTGTGTGTGTGTGTGTGTGTGTGTGTGTTTATCGCTATTTCGACCGAGTTCCCTTGAACTGCCTTAAAACCATCCACAATTTCATTCTTTTTCCAACAACTATCGCTTTCATGCCTTTTTGTCCATCAATAACACACAAATAATCAATATTAAGCAGAATATAAGTGTACTGGATTTTTATGTGTCACAGTATAAACAGGCTATATACAAAAGTATGCAGAATAGAGTTGAGACACAGTGTTGGTGTTGCTAGGGAAACCTTTTTTCTTGAATAAATAATTTTCAAGTACAAACACAATCAGTGATTACAGCTGATCCAACAAAGCCTTCAGTTGGGATTTTCCCTTCAGTGTTTTCAGTGGACAAATCTGGAGTAAATCTGCCCAACGATACTTTGGTGTGTCTCCAGCGAGAGAGTTGGCACCTAAGCACAGTCGGTCCAAAAAGCAAATATTGGCCAAACAATAATGGTGGATGGGAACTTGTGAGGACTCACAGACTGTATATTTCATTGTGATACAGGGTGGTGGAAAATAGATGATTTGCTATTTTCACAGTCATTGGAATTCTAACTCCCAATTCACACATACATTCACACTGGATCCGTTTCTGGGACGTCAGCGCAGCGGAGCGCACCCATGACACATCACAGGAGAACTACAAGATCCCGCGGGAATAAAGAGAAAAAACATGCAAACAACATGTTGCTTTGTCTTTCTGAGGATGCACTGTTGTTAATTCGGTGCCTGTTTTGACGTAATGTTGATAAAGTGATGAAAAATATGATCGCGAGTCGTATATTGTGTTTTATTTTGAAATTGACCGGATGCTCTGTGCGTTTCCTTGTCTGACTTCCTGTCTGGGCTGTCATATTCTATCCAGCTTGACATGTGCCTGCAGCGTACTCCGGCGAAAATAGACTCGCTGCGTATTTGAAACGGAGCAGAGCGCAGTGCCGTTGGTGGCACGCGCCGGAGATGGGCCGCAGCACGCGCTGTGTGAACCCAATGATTGACTAGAGTGGCAGCTAAGTACGGCGTAGTTCGCGGTGCTGACGGACTGCGGTGCACACGGAGTATTTGTGAATTGGGCTTAACAATCTCCTGGTGTTTTTTCCCCTATGCTTTGTTTCAGAGCTGATGGCAACCCCACAGAGAATACCTGGACCACGAGAACCTTTTCTGTATACAAAACCACGTTTTCACTGCTGCTATTAAAGTGTACCTGTCATTCTGGTGTTTTTCTTTGTAATAGTCTGAAATCAATATGATTGTTCTCGTTTGTTATTCGAGCAGATGTCAACTACACATAATAACAGTAAGTAGACTTTTTAAAGCATCATGGTACATTCATCTTATTAATTCAGTCTCATGTAGAGAAGTTGAAGCCGTCAGTTGAATTAAATTACGACGTTGTTTGGCCTGTTTAAATTGTGCTCTTTACTGTTTCGTTCAGTAGAATGAATAATATATTTAAATAATCATACTGATTAACCATTCTCTTCGCATATTACTGATTAGTTGTAGGGAAACATCAGAGTTGATTACTTATGGATATGGACTGATTGCTAACAGGGACACATCAGAGTTCAGTGTTCACAGAAGCAAAAATTGTGTTTACAGTACAACCGAAGACCAGATCAATTGGAAAACAATCGTTTTTGTTGTTCCTACCTGCCATATTTTTTAGTATTACATATTTCCTTTAGCTGTTAGACTCATTCTGTCTCATTTAACAAAAAAATACTTTTTGGTTTATAAATGTAGTACACAATTCTTTATTTCTATCCATCTTTTACCATCTTATTATTATTTTAAGCATGATAACTTAAGTCACTGCAGACCTTGCTGCTAGACTGGTTAAAAAAGAAGACGATTATGTACTCTCTGATCTTCTAAAAGGGATAATTAAATGTGCCTGAGGCATTCAAAGGGCCTGATGAGACAGAGACAGAGACATGTTTCTAGAAAACCATTGCCAGCAAAACCACTGTTTTCCTATTGTCACAAGACAGAAGTGTTGGATTTTCATTAATCTATTGCACATTCTTTTAGGCATGCTTTTATACTTTTCTTTATACTTAGGATGATTTTATTTACTTTTAAGTTGGTTTTAATTTGGTGCAATTCAAGAACAACCTAGCTCAAGAAATAAATCAGTTTTGCACTAGACCATCATTGTTTTAGCCTCTTTTATTATTGTCAGTGCTGCTCTCACCCCGATAATTCAAACAATCCCTGTTCATATTAAATTCCTGACACTTTTTAAATTACCACTATTTCACCCCAGTTACAGTACCTTGCATGCAAATTTTGGCGTTGTCGGCAGGATCGGGTTCTGAGAGCACCTGCAATAATCAAGGGCAAAAATTCTGATGCCTGTGTACCCTGGCGCCCCTTGGCTGCCAAAGTTTAAAGGGCCCAATGATGACTTAAAGTACAATGACTGGAAAGAACAAATACAAAGTTTACTGGGGTCACAAGAGTTGACAGAAGCAAGAAAGGTTGATATTGTGTTGAGTGCATTAGCTGGGGAAGCTAAAAGACAAATAAATGTTTTAGACGATCATGAGAGGGATCAGGTCTGTAGGATATTTTTATATCTGGACTCACTCTATGGCGACAAAACCCCCACCCCGGTGCTGAGGTCTCAATTTTTTTGTTGTGTTCAGAGGCACGAAGAAACAGTGCCCTCATACATTCTCAGGTTACAAGAGCTACATTGCAGGCTGAGGCGACATGACCCAGACAATGCCCCCTCTGACGCAGCTCTGCGAGACCAACTGTTGCTGGGGCTGCGTGAAGGTTCCCTGACTCACCCCCAATTCACACATACTCCTTGCACGCCGGGGTCCGTCAGCGCCACGGTTTTGCTCCGTCGGACAGCTCGCGCCCACTCACACTGGATCCATTTCTGGGACGTAAGTGCACCCATGACACATCAAAGGAGAATTACAAGATCCCGCGGGCATAAAGAGAAAAACATGCAAACTGTTGTTCATTCGGTGCCTGTTTTGACATAATGTTGATAAAGTGATGAAAAATACGATCGTGAGTCAGTATATTATGTATTATTTTGAAATTGACCGGATGCTCTGTGCGTTTCCTTGTCTGACTTCCTGTCCTGGCTGTCATATTCTGTCCAGCTTGATGCGTGCCTGCAGCGTACTCCGGCGAAAATAGACTCGCTGCGTATTTGAAATGGAGCAGAGCGTAGTGCTGTTGGTGGCACGCTCCGGAGACGGACCGCAGCGCGCCCTGTGTGAACACAATGATAGACTAGAGTGGCAGCTAAGTACGGCGTAGTGCGTGGCACTGAGGGACCGCGGCGCGCATGGAGTATGTGTGATTTGGTGAATTGCTTTGAAGGTATACTCCCGTCGCAACCCTGACAAAACCTTTTTTGGGATCAGACATGAGGCGCTACTGCTGCATGCGGAACATGGAAAGGCACAACTTGAGGTAACATGTGCCTCTGTAAATAATCCGTGTGCTTCCTCCAACACAGGACTGTAGTTGGAAAGAGAATCTGAAAAAGGAAATCATGGAAGATGTGAGATTACAAATGACAGGACTCACCCAGGAACTCCTGAGGGAGATCAAACCACTCCTTCAGCCAGCCATTGCTCCACCACAGCCCCCAGTACAACCCAGGAGGGAGCGACAGAGACCAGCTTCCTACCCAAATGATTGGGACGAACAAGGTAGGCCCATTTGCCACCAATGCAGACAAGCAGGTCACATTTCTAGGTTTTGTAGGAGGCCAGCTACCTCTCAGCCGGCTTTAAACTAACCAGCCCTGCTGTTGAGGTCCGATCAGCAGGGGTTGATAGAGCACCAGAAGAGACAAGGGCTAAAGATGCATTTATTGGAGAATGTCCAACAAGAGTACACATTAAAGGAGTTGAGCTGTCTGGACTACTAGACACAGGGTCTCAAGTCACATTAATGCAGGAAAGCCTCTTTGAGCAGCATTTCACCCAGGCTAAGCTTGGAAAGACCCCAGTTGTTTTAAAGTTACGAGCAGCCAATGGCCTTGCAGATCCCTTACACAGTCACCTTCCAGGGATAGATTCAGGTCACTAGGTCCATGCACATCAGCTTCATCTACGTGGTACAGCTTGCCAAGCTTCTGGTACCGACCTAGAGTCAGATGGTAGGGGTGTGGGTTACAAATTCTCATAGGGACTCTGCCATTTTTAACCATTGCCAGCATTCTGGCTACTCCCACGTTGCCGGTCTCTGGCAGCGCTTCCACCAGGGCGCGGTAGTCTGTTTCTCTTGGGCCCAACCGAGCCCAACCCCTGCTGACCCACACCAGCACGTCACTCTTTGGGGGGACTTTGATGACGCGGTGACCAGCCGGCCGCATGTATCCCAGCAGACCATCCTCCGCCATTGAAACCTCAACACGTCGACATGTGGCAAAAGCATCCCTCCAAACTTGCTGGTTTTGTAACTTCTGGGGGGAGAAAGCAGACCTTTCGGGCCATTTAAAGAGTGCATTCCAACAAGCTGTCACAACATTCATTCCAATGATGAGTGAGTGTGTGCAGTGTTCATTCTTCACTACCACAACACCTCGCCCAGGTACCTTCCACTTCTAGAGCAAACACAGCATAGCTTGTGTTATGGAAGTGGCTTTGGTGGACGCAGCAGCCGACAAGGAGAAACAAGCACTGCCAAAGGAGGTGAGCGATCTTGCTAACCGATCTGATCTGTCCGAAAACCAGCAGGAGTGACGCAGCACCAGTCAGAGAACGGCATCGACCTCTTCCCCCTGCTATGTACAAGAAGATGAAGTCCTTACTTGCAGGTATGCTTGAAAAAGGAGTAATCAAGGAGTGCTGTGGTCTGTAGGCTGCGCCCATAGTGTTGGTGAGAAAGAAAGACGGCTGTTGAAAGTTGAATGTAGTGACCCATAAAGATGCTTTTCCCCGACCCAGGATCGAAGAGACTTTGACTAACCTGACCCGAGCAGAGTGGTTCTCCACTCTTGACCTGGCCAGGGCTACTGGCAGGTTGAGATGGACCCTCAAGACCGGGAAAAGACAGCATTTATAACTCTCTTCTCTTTTAGTTTGAGCGCATGCCGTTTGGCCTCTGCAATGCGCCAGCAACGTTCCAACGTTTGATGCAACAGTGTTTAAGTGGTCAACTGTCCGAGTCCCTACTTGTGTATTTGGATGACATTATTATTTAATCACCTGGCTGTCTACTATAGACGTTTCGTGTCTGGGTTTGCTAAAATTGCACGTCCCCTGAACCAGCTACTGACGGGTATTTCTGCTGACAGAAAGTCTGAAACCAGAAAGGTACAGTGGTCTCAAGATTGCCAGATATCCTTTGATGAACTCAAAACAGCCTTAACTCAAGTAGTAGGCTCTACCTCTGCTGTTTAGGACATTTTTCCCACTCCTCGTCTGGGAGAAATGACGAGAGCTCTACGTCTTTTTTCCACTTGTTGTATTTGGTCGACCATGCCCCGCTCCACAGGCGCTCCCAGCTGTTCTTTTCCCATGGTGTGGAGTCTCTGTATGATTGGCCCGTAATGGTACCGACAGCAAATTATAAAGGGACACTTAAAGGTTTGATAACATTTAAATCAGGTTGGTTATAACAACACATGTTCCATCTGTTGCTAATCTGAGTTCTTTAAAAAAAACTCCCTCAGCAAAAAAACAATGATAAGAAATGTTTGTAATCCTCCAGTAAAGTCTTCTAATCCTCCAATAAAGGACTTTTTTTTCTAATCCTCTAGTAAAGGACTTCTGGCAAACACACATTGATTAATGCAAACAAACAAACAAAAAGAATCATGTAGGCTGCTATACATTAACAAAGAGGTCCAGCAAGGAGAGTACTCTTGTAACAAATGAAACAGCTGAGATTTTGTTAGTTGCAGCTGTTTTGCCTCAGGACCACGTCATGCTTGCTGCTACAGACTTCTGTTCCTTAAAACATTAAGTGTGTTCAATGTGTACAATAAGCCTTGAGTTTAAAGTTTTCCACTCGTTAGTCTGTTATTCTTGCCATTCGGTGTATATAATACCCATCTTCAGTTGAATAGTTTTTGTATTTCTATTCGCTGTACGGATCTCGTTTTGGCGTTAAGTGCTTCAGCACAGTGTGATATTAGTGGTAGTGTTCAGTAGTTGAGGGCAAAAAGCCAAAAGCTGAGTGTCAGTATGACACCAGAGTTGATATCCCACTGCATAAAATGGTCCACTTTCCTGCACAGTACTCCAACAACATAATGAGGCAGATGAACAATTAAATGTCTGAAACCTTTCAGGGCTTGAGATAATTTCAAGTGACTTAATGGTTTATTTATTTATTCAATCATAATAATGGGATATCCATGGGAGTAATGGAGCTCCATCGGTCCCTGCCACCCCCTAGGGCAACAGATGTTTCGCAGCCCATATGGTGTCTTCATTTCTTTTATGCTCTCTCTCCCCCCCCCCCCCCCTTTTCCCTCCTATCTCAACTTTTTTTTTTTTTTTTTAAATAGATGAGACCTATAAGACCCATGAAGGGTCAGGGGATTTCAGAAGCCAAAATGAGATTCATGGACAGGGTGGCAGCTCTGTGAGGTTCAGTGATTTTGGAAGACCTCGGTATCGAGCTACTGGCTCTTTACCAAATTGAGAGAAGCCAATTTAGATGGTTTTGGCATCTTACACAGAGGACCCGAGGCACATTCCTGGAGGCACTCTAGGCATGATCAACAGGAAGAAGACCAGTGTAGAGACCCAGAGGATACTGGAGGCTTTACATCTCCCAGTTAGTGAAAGAAGATCCACATGAAGATGGAGGCATGTGGGCTGTACTGCTCATACTGCGACCCTGACCTGGATAAGAAGCTAAAAACTCAATCGATGGATGCTACCAGAAATAGTGTGGCATATACAGTAGTGATGTGTCGGTCATGAACGATTTGTTCAAAACGAACGAATCATCTGGGTGAACGAACTGAACTGAATCACTTACTGAAAAGAGTCGTTCATTTCTCAACTTCAGTTGCGCTCTCCTCTCTCCCGTCTCGTATCTCTCTCTATACCGTAAGAGTCGCTCAAAGCCCGCCCTCCTTCTCCCTTTCATGTCCGTGATACGTACTGACTGAACCAACAGGACGGAGTCAGTCGGGAGCTCTGTGTCGCTAAAGCCCGCCCCTACTTCTCCCTCTCATGTCTCCAAAATTGAGGAAGTAGAAAATATATTATTTAACATTTAGGTGTCGCAAAAATGTATGTGCTTTTTATAGCTGCTGCCAGTTTACAAACGGCTTTTATATCCAACTTAATTTCACTCAGCTGACTGTTTTAACATCCACTAACGATCGTGTTTCAGTCAGTACAGTGTGTGTGTGTGTGTGTGTGTGTGTGTGTGTGTGTGTGTGTGTGTGTGACTGAGGCTGGTGACTCGCATTCTTGCTCGTTCACGTTCACTGAACGAACTGAACGAGAGCTCCGACGTGAATCACTGAACGAACTGAGAGGAGTCACTCTCTTCCTCTCAGTCAGACAGTCAGTGAGTGATTTGTGTACTGAATGTACTGAACAGAACAGTCGGGGAAAATAAATGTGATTGTTTTAGCAGCTTTCAGTTTGCAAACTGTAGCTTTATCCAACTAAATTCTCAGCTCATTGGATTATTATTCACCACCTGCTGTTCTCAGTACGATCGCGAGCAGAACTAAACGTTCGGCCGTGTTTCAGCTTATTAAATTCTGATTCACAGACAGAGCTGCAGAGAAGTACTGAATGATTCGGTGAACGAATCTTTTGAACGAATCACTTTACTGAACTGATTCTACTGATTCAGTACACTGAAAATAACTGCTTTTCACATCACTAATATACAGTATACTTTCCAGTGAAAATTGGAGTTGCTGCATATTCTATATTGTTTGTTGTATAGTATCTCAGCCTGGTCCTAATTGGGTTTTTGGTCCAAAGAGGTCTGGGAATTTACTTTGATGTTGCCCACAACAACATCATCACTACTCAGGAAGCGAGTGTTTTTTTCTGATTGTGTTTAGCACTGCCTGTCTGATTTCTCCTGTTGCTCTGTGATTTTAGCCCCTGGTGTCTGAAGTGTTGTAAAGTGTCAGTTATTTCCAAGCTCAATATAATCTTAGCTCAGGAGAGAAAAAGAGCAGATGACACTGACTCATATTGTAGAAATTAGAAATGCTGGTCAAGGAGAAATTTGTACAATTAATCCCACAAATCTACACCAATGTCAGGTATGTGTCTTAAATTTTCATGACCAGACAATGTGTGCAAGCACCACTTATGATTAGTGACTGGCTTTTCTTGCAATTTTAAAAAGAACATTTTATGTGTAATAGTATTAGCTTCTTGTGAACATACACAATGTGATAGCACCAAATGGCTTTTCCAATCAACAGCAAATGGCAGATTATGCCACGCTATATCTAGATGGTCAATGGCTAATTGTATTGTCAGTGGTTTTATTGTTATTTGAGACAGTGACCAACACAAATAAAGTTAAATCAAACATTTCAGTTAATTAGGTAACTTCATCTCATTTGAAACTGACTATTAGCAGAAAACAACTATATAATGGTGAGAAAAGAAAGGCTGGTTATAAGCTTGCAACAAAACATTATCTGACAGTAACAGTAACAGTAACTTGACTCCTTTTTATAATTGGATATTTCCCATACACATAACCACAAAGCATAGTTAAAACACAAGCAATATTTAAATGCCCAAATATCCCCACTGCAGCGAATATAAATAATCAAACAAAGACACCAGAAAGCAGAGTATGGCACCTGTTTCAACAAAAACAGCTTGCTTCAAGCCTTGCAAATGTGCAATCTGTGATGAATGGTAAAACAAACTTACTCATCATTATTGATTATAATGAACTAATGTGTTTTTTTTCTATGTGTAGTATTCTAATTGTGTACATTAGTCTATCCATTTTCTTTCCATTTGTAACCAATTCAAGACTTCATATACCTGTCATCTAGGAATTATGAATGTCTGACGAAGCACAGATTAGAAACATCCAGTGTTCAAAATTCAAACATTCTCCTCTGTCATTGAGGCTAGAACTGTCCGTCTGTCCTAGGAACTAATTTTCTTAAGACAGTTTGCGGTATTCAATTCCAGAAACACTCACATGCGGCTCGCATGCGTCACAATTGCACACCTACACATTTCTGACCTGAACTCCTGTTGTTCATCTCCTACCTTAACAATGTCCTCTTTGGTTAGTGTCACCAATGAATATCCTCTCTTGTGAAATGCTTCTGGACATAGTCACAACTTTCTTCCTTTTGTAAACTGGAAATGTCCTTGTTCTGTCATCCAATAATATTACCTACATTGTTATGCCAATGACACTCAACCTAACCTTTCA